GCTACAAAATACCGTTGATTTTTGGGATTTTTTTTTTTTACAAAGCTGGGCATTTTATTCCATATACTAAACAAATTGTCGAACATACTTTGTATGGAAGGAAATGCGTGACAACCCCACTTGAATCTTGCACCTTATCTTCCTATAATTTAATGGGCTATAAAATCGCGTACCTAAAATTTGTCTAAAAATTCTGAGTAAAAAGTTTGAAATTCGAAATTTTTGTACACATTTTGAAATGTGCTTTTGTGTATGGGCAGTTAATTACACAAAGCGAAAAAAAAATAAAACACACGAAGTAATTAATATACCTACGAAACTATGGGCCAAATATAGTAAAACTGCTTCTTCAGTTTTAGGATGTTTTTTTTTTTTGAATAACTTTATATTTCAAATATGTATGTATATTAAGGTTATTCAGGCTATACTCATTAATTAGGTATTCGGTAACTCTCACAATTGTTTTGTTTTTGTAAATTACCGAATATATCGTTACCAAGATCACGAAGTGGCAATCTGATAATGTGGTAATACACGCGTTAAAATGTCAGCTGATTCCTTTCTGTTCCCTATTTGCCGGAATTTTCTCGCGCGAAAAGTGCATAATTTTATGAAAAGTTTAATAAATTTTCCTGTCGTGGAATTAATAAATATTTATAAATAATATAATTTCACGTCAGCTGATTCAGTGTTACCGAGTTACCAGATAACGAATTAATACATTAACGAGGGTAGTCTGAATACCCTTATTATTAATTCCAAAAACTATTTAAACAATTCAAACGCAAAGTAGAATAAAAATATGGGATCCAAATGAAAGAGAAAATTATTTGGGTTCACAATGATGAATAGGTATTGAAAATGCTCTATTAATAAATTTTATTTTTTTAAGCTAATAAAGTTAGAAGGACGATATTCGAGGATCTGGTCGAGTTTATATTAGTCCTTAGCATATACAATTTTTATTCATAAAAAACTTCATTTTTGGAGGCCAAATCGGTCAAGGAAATATTTTGATGGACATCTTAAAATACAATAGATTTTGTAATCCCGGGGGAAAACCGCAACTTTTTTTGGTGATGCAGTTTAATGTATATACATATGTAGGTGAGCTAGATATTTATAAAAAAATATTAAATATTAAATAAACAAAATAAATATAGCAAACACTGGTCAACACGAGGCGTTTATATTATTTCCACCAGTGCAAATTACAAATCCCGAAAATCCCGGGATTCTTAGCAAATTTTCGGGAGACTCGGGCCTTAAAAAGATAAGAATCCCAGGATCCCGGGATTAACATCCCTATCAAATAATTTTTATGAGATTTTCCTGCGATCCCCTGAGCGAGTGGAGCGGTGGCCTCCCCCGTTGTGGCGATGAAACCTGGCGTAGCCTAGAGCAGCTCATCAAACACAACTAATATTTATGAAGACAAATCCTACTTCGAAAAGAGAATGCGAAATTGCTCTAAACACGAAAATTTATAGAGGTGTATAATTATGCTTATTAATGATTAATTACTCATCAAAAAGCTATTGATTAATCGCTCTTAGTGAAGAAAGTTTATAGAAATTTAAAAGTTTACATTGGTCGAGGATTTTTACTAATCATAGAGGAGTATAGAGGAGAGTTATCTTGGCCAATATATAGAGATGACGTGGAGCGTAGCGTTGAGCACTTTAATGATACTGTTTTCAATTTGTTTCGAAAGTATGTGCCAATACGTAATATTGTTCATGAAGAACCAATACAATTATGGTTCACTAAAGAGCTTAAAAAATTGAAAAATAAAAAGTCGCACTCTTTTAAACTGTATAAAAGAACGGGCTTACACAGTGATTACCTAAGGTACTCAGTTTTGCGGCATAGCTACTTTGCATTAAATAAGAAATGTTATAATTCATATTTATGTAAAATTAAGAAGAATTTAATTAACAATCCTAAATCATTTTATGGTTTCGTAAATTCAAAGCGTAAGGCACATGGTTTTCCGTCCGCTATGCATTATCGCAACACTGTATCTAGCGACAGCCAACTCATTGCCAACATGTTTGCTCGGTTCTTTAGGTCCAATTATTCTGTAGACTTCCCTATAAGTGGAGACTATCCGTACGAGCTTTGTCCAATCAACTCTGCTTATATTCCAGTAATATCTTCCGATGAAGTTTTACACTCTTTAAAAACCTTAAAAGCGTCATTTAGGCCTGGACCTGATCATATTCCGACCTGTTTTCTTAAAAACTGCGCTGAGAACATCTGCGAGCCTTTAACAACTCTATTCAATTTGTCACTTAAACATGGCGTTTTTCCGTCAGCCTGGAAGGAGTCTTTCATAATACCACTTCACAAAAACGGCAGCAGGTCGTCTATAGAAAACTATCGAGGCATAGCGAATCTCTCCGCTATCCCCAAATTATTCGAAGCAATTATTGTTAACCAGCTGACATATTCTATATCTTCTTCAATTACACAATCTCAACACGGGTTTTCTAAAGGAAAATCTACTATGACTAATTTATTGGAGTTTACAACTCATGTCTCAAACGGTTTTAGAGAAAATGCTCATACCGACGTAATATACACCGATTTCAGTAAAGCTTTTGACAAAGTATGTCACTCGTTACTCATCCGTAAACTCGACCTAATCGGCTTTCAGCCCAGTCTTCTTCAGTGGATCTCATCTTACCTCTCTGATAGAACACAAAGAGTTATTGTTAATAATTGTTCTTCCAACATCATTAAAGTTTCTTCAGGAGTTCCTCAGGGAAGCCACCTTGGTCCGATTCTGTTCCTGATATTCATTAATGATATTTCTTCTATAATAAAACATTCAAAAATTTTAATGTATGCCGATGATGTGAAACTTTTTAAAACATTGTCCTCTATCGAAGAAAGGTCTTTGTTACAAGCGGATCTGAACAACGTGGTTAGTTGGTGTAATACAAACTATATGCCACTAAACCTTCAAAAATGTAAAGTTATGTGTTTCTCTCGGAGGGCTGTTCAACCAGCTGTTTATTCAATATCAAATTATAATCTGGAGCAGGTATCCAATTTTGTCGATCTTGGTATCACAATGGATTCCAAACTCAATTTCAACCATCATATTAATGTTACAGTCAATAAAGCCAAAGGCGTTTTTGCATTTGTAAGGCGATGGTCAAAAGAGTTCAAAGATCCTTATGTTACAAAAGCTCTTTTTACCAGTTTAGTTAGACCTATACTAGAATACGGATCTATTGTTTGGAATCCCCGCTACCAAGTTCATTCAGAAAGGATTGAATCAATTCAAAAACAATTCTTGCTTTTTGCATTGCGTAATTTTAACTGGGATTCAGATTACAATCTCCCCCCTTACACAAGTCGTCTAAAGCTCATAAATTTGCCTACACTCGCAAGTCGTAGAGAAATGCTGGGTATAATATTTATCGTAAAATTAATGACAGGCTTGATTAATAGCCCGGCCCTCCTGGCTGAGGTAAATTTTAATGTTCCTTCTCGAGTGTCAAGACACTTTCGACCTCTATTTTTAAAGCCATGCAAAACTAATTTTGAACTAAACGAATCATTCCGTGGTTTATGTCAAGATTTTAACTGTCATTCCAGCACGTTTGACGTATCGGACTCGATTTTTACTATAAAGAAAACTATTATTTCCACTCTCAATAATTGAAATACTATCTTTAGCATATCCAATCAGCTGATGAATTTGATTCTGTAGCTGAATAGTTTTAGATCTCGACACTTAACAAACTCCTGTTTCCACTACTCGGCACGAAAAAACTAAAAAAAACAAAAAAAAGGTTCCGTACGTCATGCGGACTGCGCCCCTCGTGTCAGTTGGGCGGGAATGGAGGGTAAAAAGCCGTTGGGATTAATTAAAAAAAAAAAAAAGAGACTTATAAAATATGTCTACATGCAGAGCCTTATATAATCCTTATAAGAGCACAGTCTGTGAGAAGAGCGTTATAAAATCTTTATAAAACCAGTCGTACTCCAAACTTCGAGTTGTGTTTTTCCGGGCTACTACTCATTTGTATCAGAGTTTTTATTTTAACTATGTCTTCTGCTTGTGGTTTTAAATAGTTCATTTTGCTGCCAAACGCAAAAACGCCTTTTTCCACTTCTAATATAAATGCATTCAAAATATAGCATTTTATTTACAATTTTCTAATCCTTAATCACCACGATAATAGAAACTGAAGCGTTTATAACTAATTAAAACTATGTAGCACTCGCGAAATATATCACTTTATCCTCATTGTCAAACTGTTGAATCATTTTTCCGGAAATAGGTAGTTCAGGATATTCTCTAAATGCTTTCAGAAGTCGTTTTTCAAATTATTTATGAGTTTAATTTTTGTTGGCATTTAAAAAATTTGGGAAGGGTTTCTTTGAAAATAAATTAAAGAAAAACTAGTTTGTCAAAAACTTGCAATTTTCAGGGTCTGCTAAAAACTGAATGCACTTTATGAAAATAAGATCTTTGATGCGAACAAACTATTTTTTATAACCTTTTTCAGATATTTATTTCACTTATTGAAAATATTTTGTGTATATTTTGAAAAATTTCACATTCTCACTTAACTTCATGAATATTTGAGTTTTTATCACGCGCCACGCGCATATCGCACACCGAGATCTAAAGTGCGATCAACTAAAGAAAAAATTTAAGGCGATTTTTTTGCATAAATTAATTCAGAGGACTTACATCCAGTTAATGTAAATATGTTTGTCTTCATGATTATATACATTAACTAAAAAACCACTGTTATACCCGTATTGCAATAATTCCTTTGAATCTGTACGATCCACAATCAGTTATATTTTCCTCTCTGAATTTTGAGTTAACTCCCTTTAGATCTAGGTGTGCGATATGTAGGTCTAATTAAAAAATGAAGAAAGTTCGTGTCTTAAATCTTTCGATTAAATTTTCAAAAATGGTTATTGGTCTTATGAAACATAAGACATTTGCTCAAAGGAAATGAAAAACATACCTTAATTTTCCTGAAACGATCCGGTATCAAAGAATAATAAATGGACTCCAATGTAAAGAAGGTCGCCTTCAAGAAAAACACCAATAAATCCCAGACAAATTGAAAAATTGCTTTGAAAGGATTTTCCATGTGAAGCAGACGCAACGATTCCGTTCTGGTGGCAGCAATCATTTTAATGCAATTCACTGACTTTGTAAAAGATTTCGTCGTAGTAGCTGGTGTGGTTGCAACTTCGTTGTTTTCTTTTTCGTGATGAAATTACAGTTACAAAGCGGGAGGGAAAAGCAAATGCAACAACAATTCGCGAATGATACACGCGCGATTGCGTACAGTGACTGCTGTGGACGGCCGACAAATCGTTTTATGTTAGACCCAATTTGCAAATAATTGTACGTTGCTTATGCTTCCGAATATTTACTTATGCTTATATGTACACATTTAATTTTTTGCAAGTCAAATCGTCCAATCAAATAGTAACCTAACACACAACTATAGGTCATTAATCATTTTATAACCAACTATTATTATTTTCTTTATGATTTATGCAAAGTTGGAAATTTATCTGTGTTTTTCACGTAAAATTTTTTATTTTATTTTTTGCTTCGCAAATTTCTCCGCAGCGCCAACGGAATTTGGTGTGAGATTTGAAAGTGAGCTTAGATTTTTATGTATGTACTCGACATTCACTATTTACAACCGCTGGCTTCAAAACCTCGACAACGACTGAATTGTAAATTTGGCTTCAAACGAAACTCGGCAGTGGCTTGGCCACATGTAACTCAGCAAACAAATGTTGGCATGCAAGTTTGTATGTACTATTTAGCTATAGAATGGACGTGCCGACCATCTATGAGCATGCATTTGTATGTATAAACATATGTATAGATGAAGGTAGACATGTTTATGCTTTCAAAACGTTATGCGTTAAATGTTGGAGGGCTCTGATTAAAATCAAATGTCGCAAATATGTTTTGTGCGACGGTTATTTGATGTCTCGGAAACAGAGCCCTTAACGTTTATTCGGTCTTGTCATCACTGTCATCTGCGTAACTCCTGATCCGTGGGGTCACTGGAGCTCGCATTGGCCTCCTAACTTTAGTCAGTTAAAAATAACACTGATTTACAGCGAAAATATTCAATGAATGCCACTATCCAATTTCTATTTAGAATTTCTAGGTGATTCTGAAAATCGAGTTAATTTTTTTTTCAATGGATACGTTTTCGAGATATTTGCAATTTACCGTTATTCAGCTTAAAATAAAAAGTAGTTCCACTTAATCACGTACATCTTACAAACCAATTTAACAGTCTTAGAACGAGATACGGCAAATGAAAGGCAATAAAATTCTCCATAAATCATATATACATCACATTCCGATACGACTGATAGTTTCTGACAAATTAACTAATCATTCCAGTTTTTTACTTTTTAGTGAAAAAATGAAAAAAAGCTTACTTTAACTGAAGAAAAATTAAAAAAATAACAGACTCTGTGCCATATTTTTGCATTTGTGCTAAAGCCTGTTCTGTTACAATGAAATCAAGTTACTAATAAAGAAAATCGATCGCTAAATAAAGAAATAATGAGTGGTTAAATGAAAATACGCAAAGATTTTTGACATGAAATATGAGCATAAAAGCGGGCTACTTAGGTCTACATGGCGTATGAGTAACATTATTCCCTAACTCTTTTTTCATGTAAAAAAAATCTTTGCGTATTTTCATTTGACCACTTATTATTTCTTTATTTATCGATCGATTTTCTTTATATGTATATTGATTTCATTGTAAAGTGATGTATACATGGTTTATGGAGTATTTTGTTAGCTTTCAATTGCCGTATCTCGTTTTCAGATTGTTAAATTGGTTCGTAGGATAGACGTGGTTAAGTGGAACCACTTTTTGTTTTAAGCTGAATAACGGTAAATTGCAAATATTTCGAAAACGTATCCATAGAAAAAAATTAACTCGATTTTCAGAATCACCGAGCAATTCTACATAGAAATTAGATAGTGGCATTTGGAGAATAAAAACCATACTAAAATTTGTGATCCAGTGTAATCATATGTACATACATACATAGATATTCGTACATTCATATGTATGTATTTGCTTAGGTATTATATGAGTACCGCTACTATCATTATCTCGTATATGCAAGTTGAAAATCCAAACAACAAAATTTGACTTTTAGTTCACACATCATGGATTTTCACCACCAATTAGCACATCTACAACACAAAAACAAATGAATGCGATTAAACTACATACAAATCTACCTATGCAATTTATCTTTCCATGTTAACGGAGTGCCACCAAAACAACAGAACCTTCGAAAACTGGTTTTCATTTTAAATTTGAAGCAGTAAGCGGAAATGTAACAGAAATAGTTATACATACATAAGTTTGTTTTACAAAGAATTTTTGAATATTTTACTAGTAATTTATGAAAAATCGTGTTCAGTTTTCTGAGTACTACAGTGGCTTTAAAGTATTTAATGTATCAAGGCGGCACCGAGAAAAAATGGAGTGGACGGTACAATGTTGATTGAGTGTTGATTGTAATAATTTTTATTATTTTCACACGTTTTGCAATGTTTTCATCCAATTTTATTTCCAGCAAATCTACATACACGAAAAAATATTTAATTTTAATGATAACACAGTGGTCCGATTTCCAAAAAAACGCGCGCATGTACCCTTAGACGCTCTATATTCGTCATTTCGTGGCCGATTTTAATTTTTTTTTAATTAATCATAACAAAATTGTTAACAATCTTTTTTCTGTCGATTGTTAAAATACTTGTTTGTTTAGACAATATTTAGTGTAAATTTTGGCAGTCAATACATCTCCAAAAGTTGTATTTACACCTTAAACCATAAGTTTACTCAATAAAATTATTCATGAAACTAAACTTACTATTGTTGTTGTTTTTCATTTTTTATCCAACGCACTTAGAAGCATTCAGCCATTCCTAATTTTGTCATAAGACGGCAAATTTTTTCGGTTCGAAAGAAATAAGCACAAAATAATTTTCTAAGATACATACATATATATTTTCAGTCAGTGTCATTCTTCACGCTCAAAAATTTTAAATGATAAATTTGTCACAAGGCTTCCGAGCTGTCAGAATCTTCTTGTTACGAGCTTTCTACCAGGAAACGTCGTCCCAAAACGCGAAAAAAAATTAAATTAATGGAAAATATTTTTTTAAATATACTTAAAATTTTTATGTTAAAACAATTACCGGAGATCGAATCCATATTAAAATAAATTATTGCTCTCAACCTATTACATTGCCAAAGTTTTCAAGCGAAGAAAACATAAAAAATGTAAGTGCGCCTGGGCCACACTGGAGGAGCGAAACCTACGTTACATATCTATTTTGTCTCAAAACCAATATACACACATACACATGGCCAATTCTACAGGAAAGTAAACCAGCCCGATTTTTTTTTTCTTTCAAATTTTGAACATATTAGTGATTATTGGTATTCACTATATCTGTCAGCTGCTTCTGACACTAATTCTTATCATATCCAAGCATTTTGTGTTTAATATTTTGCTACTTTTGTCGAAGAATTTTTCACGAATCTAAAAACAGTTTTCGATATTTCAACATAAAAGTACAAACATATCAGCTTTCCTTGATTTATTTTGGCCGATTAAGTTCTGAACGACAGTAAATAAATTAGTATAAAAGGATACGTTCCAAGTTAGCGAAAAAGTTGTTAAGAACTCCTATTACGTCGTAATTAAAAAGCACCCTTTCCAAAGGATGTGTAACATGTTTTCTTAGTATTGTCGATATCATACTGATTCCATATGGAAAAAAGAAAACGAAGCTGACTTAGTTGCACAATTATAATAACAGATTGGCGCTTACACATATGTTAGTGTTTGACCGAGCTTCTCCTCCGACTTGTGGCGTGCGCCTTGATGTTGTCACACAAAGCGGAGGGACCTACAGTTTTACGCCGACTCCGAACGGCGATTGCATTTTTGTGAGAAGCTGTTTTTTCATGGCAGAAGTACACTCGGAGGTTTGCCATTGCCTGCCGACGGACGACCGCTGTTAAGAAAAAACCTTTCTTCTATATTTTTTGCGATGTTGCTTTGACCAGGGTTTGAACCCGGGTGCTGCGTAGTAGAAGCGCGCACTGCTTACCACTACACCACAGCGGCCACAAGTTGCACAATTACCTAATAAATAAGTGTAAAGTGGCCAGTGCTTTTCTTTTTATTTAAAATTTTTTATTGACTTGATAACTATTCTCATTTCATTTTAGCAATAAATAAAAACGCATATGAACAATTGCGAAATGAGCATTATACTGCTAAAATTTAATAACTATTCTATTGAAATAATGCGAAACTAACATTTGTAAAATATCCCTTGAAATATTTATCTCTAAAGATTTTGACTATATATTTGCCTATAATTCAATTAGATTTTTTGCAACATATAAATCTGATAATTTATCTGCCCATTATAGTGATTGTGCTCATAACACTACAATTTTATAGAATCTGATACAAGTCTAACGGCGATTGTATGTTTATGAGAAGCTGTTTTTCATCGCAGAAATACATTCGGAGGTTTGCCATTGCCAGCCGAGGGGCCACCGCTGTTAAGAAAAAACCTTTTTTCTATATTTTTGCGATGCTGCTTTGACCAGGGATTGAACCGAGGCCCTGCGGAGTGTAAGCGCGCACTGCTTACCGCTACACCACAGCGGCCGCCGGAAGAGTTTATAAGTCTATTTATTTTAATTGTTTCTGTTTATCGGCCTTTAAATTGTAAACTCATGTAATTTCTATTTTATAAGCCCGAGGCCCAGAGAATACATAAAACACAGGTTTTAGTTCTTTAATTTTTAATATCGATATTTCGATCTCTCTCTGAGGTCATCTTTATAGTTGTGCCCGGTCGACCGACAACTAAGAGTTCCTGAAGATGACCTTTAGATTGAGGTCGAAATATCGATATTAAAAATTAAAGAACTAAAACCTGTGTTTTACGTATGCTATTTATTTTGCTAAAAATTGTATATGTTACAACTTTTCTATAAAACTGCCATAAAATCATTAACATTTTTTTATCTAAATTTAACAAAGTTGAGGAAACCGCCGTATCTGATTTGAAATTGTCTTGGATGGCAATGGAAAAAAAATTATTATTCAGAAAGGATTACAAAGAAAACACATAACATGATACTTTAGATGAGCTTTTGCATATTTTAAGTTATTAAACATAAGTGGTTATTATAGTATGGTTTAATAAATATTATTTGCTACGATAATACGAAGATTTTTCGGTCAAAAATTTTAGTGTAGGATGATTTTTGACCTAGATAGAATTTTTAAGGATAATCGAGTTACATTTTTTAATCCTGCAATAGAAGATCCCAATTTTAATAAGAATGCTAAGAAAAAATTTATGAACAAAGCCTTTTGGTTAAACCTTGCCCAAGCGAACCGTACGTGAAACGTGGCCAGTGTTTTGTGTAACGTTGCTAGTGCTCAAATTTTATAAGCGAAAATTGTCAAAAACCTAAAATTTGCAACAATTGGGTAAGCAGATGACCACCTGCATTCACTGTAGATGACATACTGAAAAGCTAGCAAAATTCGCTCACCTGTTTCGCAGAAATTTCACACTTTCTGACACAACCCATCATTAAACTTCCAAATAGTGCAACGTAGCCA